GTTCAGTGATTATGCTATGGAATTATGCTCTGGCATCAGTTGCACTTACTCTATGGACGACTTACTACATGTGGATTTTATCTTAAGTTATTTGTACAAAATAGAGATGATTATAGTCCAATATTTTTCGTTATATATATATATATATATATATGTGTGTGTGTGTGTGTGTGGAGAAGGGCTAAAAGTACTATTGAAAACTCAATTTAGAAGCTCAACTTTAGAGAGAAGAAGAATTGAAGGCTTCATTATCAACTGGGAAAACTAACCTACTGCTATTACAATGCTGTATTTATATACACATTTCTATGAGCTAACTAACTAACCTCTATGATGTGACTGCATAACTAACTCTGACGCATTCTAACAGAATAATTAGTTAACTAACTAATCAGCTATTACAATCTAATTAACAATCTAATCAGGCCAGTTATTAACCAATTCCAATACTCCCCCTCAAGCTGGATGTACTGAAGACATTCAAGAATCCAAGCTTGTCCATTAAACTGTCATGTTGCACTCTTCTAAGAGCCTTAGTCAATAAATTTGCTTGCTGGTCTTTAGTATGAATGTAGGTAGTGTTGATTAGGCCTTGTTGAATTTTCTCCCGGATGAAATGGCAATCCAACTCAATGTGTTTAGTGCGTTCATGAAATATAGGATTAGCTGCAATCTGTATTGCAGCCTTGCTATCACAATAAATGTTTGTTGGTCCATTTAGTGTCACTTCTAACTCCTTAAACAAGTTTGAAACCCAAACCACTTCAGCTGTCAAAGTAGCTAGGCTCCTGTATTCTGCTTCTACAGAGCTTCTGGATACTGTATTCTGTTTCTTTGACTTCCATGATATTAATGAATCACCAAACTTCAATAGAAAGCCAGTAACAGACCTCCTAGTATTTGGGTAGGCAGCCCAGTCTGCATCACAAAAACCAGTGAGTTGAAGCTTCTTGTCTGAACTCATCAACAACCCCTTTCCAGGTTTTGTTTTAATGTACCTTATAACCCTTAATGCTGCATTCCAATGTGATATCTTTGGTCTTTGCATGAATTGACTTAAAGACTGTATTGCAAAGGCTATATCTGGCCTTGTGTTTGTGAGATACAACAGCTTCCCAACAAGTCTCTGATACTGTGTAACATCTGGCAGCAATGCATCATCATTAGCAGTCCCCTCAGCATACTCCACACTAGTCAACTTCATATTGCATTCCAATAGTGTAAGGGCTGTTTTTCCAGCAGCCATGCCAACCTCAGAGATTAACTCTAAGGCATACTTTCTTTGATTCATCACTATCCCTTTACTAGACCTAAGAAACTCAATTCCTAGGAAGTATTTTAGTTCCCCAAGTCTTTGATCTTGAAATGACTATGCAACACATGTTTTGTGTCCCTTATCAAAGTAGCATCATTTCCTGTAATGAGTAAATCATCCACATACACTAATATAATCACTATACTTTTCCCTTCCTTCTTGGTAAATAGTGAGTAGTCCAAATGACTTTGAGTGTATCCTAAAGTGCACAAAGCAGTGGTCAACTTTGCATTCCACTGTCTTGATGCCTGTTTAAGTCCATAAAGGGACTTAACCAATTTACAGACCATATGTTCACCCTGCAACTTGAATCCCTTAGGTAATTCCATGTAAACTTCCTCAAATAAGTCCCCTTGTAAGAAAGCATTGAACACATCCATTTGATATATGATCCAATTCTCAGCAGCAGCTAATGATACAATAGACCTCACAGTAACCATTTTGACTACTGGTGAAAAAGTCTCTTGATAGTCTATCCCTTCAGTCTAATTATACCCTTTTGCAACCAACCTGGCCTTGAATCTATCAATTTCTCCATTTGCTTGATATTTGATTTTATAGACCCACTTGCATCCTATGGCAATCTTCCCTGCTGGCAGGTTAACCAACTTCCAGGTGCCATTTTCTTCTAATGCCTTTATTTCTAATGACATAGCCTCTATCCATCTCTTGTCTTTGATGGCTTTTTCATAGTTTCTAGGTTCAACTTCTGTAGAAAACTTTGATAGATAAGCAGCATATCTAGTTGATACATTCTTGTATAAAATATATTTTCCCATAGAATAAGGCTGATCTGTATTAGAGACTTGAGTCACATAATCCTTCATCCAGATGGGTGGATTTGAAGTTCTAAGAGAGTGTCTTGACCTTTCAGGAGCAACTGGGACAACAGGTAAAGGAGCTTCAGGACAAGGTTCATTCAAGTCAGCATCATGCTGATCAACATCAGGGAATATATGCTCCTGAGGAATATGCATAACCTCACCATGCAATTCATCTTCTGGAGGCAGTAAAAAATCTTCACAATCAGGAACCTGGATCTCACAGTTAGGAAATAATGGGAGTTGTTTTGTAACCATTTTCTGAAATGGGAATATGTTCTCATTGAAAACAACATCCCTATTGACTATCAATTTTCTGCTGCTTATATTGTACATGAGATACCCTTTCTGAGTAACTGAATATCCTAAAAAAACACATGCATCTGCTCTAGGGGAAAATTTATCTCCTTTTGGCACTCTAGTGGCATACCCCAAACAGCCTAATGTTCTCAAGTGATCAAGCTTTGCTTTGACTTTGTGAAACATCTCATATGGTGTCTTTCCTCCCAACACTGATGTAGGTAATCTGTTAATTAGATATACTGCAGCAAGAATACATTCACCCCAAAACCTTATGGGGATATGGCCATGGAATCTAAGTGCTCTGGACACCTCAAGTATATGTCTATGCTTCCTCTCAGCCACTCCACTTTATTGTGGAGTGTATGAACAACTACTCTCATGAATTACACCATAAGAATCAAATAACTCATTACACTCTTTATTGAAGAATTCTGTTCCATTGTCAGATCTTATCTTCTTAATGTGTGAATTAAACTGTGTCTTGACAAGAGCAAAGAATGATCTTAAAACTGAAAACACATCACTCTTCAATTTTAGCAAATATATCCATGTCATTCTAGAATAGTCATCAACAATGGTCAGAAAAAATCTATATCCATTGTGTGTTACAAACTTATAAGGCCCCCATACATCTAAGTGAATCAAATCAAAAATAACATTGGTGTTAGACACACTCAAGGGAAAAGGCAACCTAGTCTGTTTTGCAAGTGGACAAACTGGACAATTCTTACAAATGTCATCAGCATCACCTGATGATAAAGACAATTGCCTTAGCACCTTAGCTGATGGATGTCCCAACCTGTTATGCCATAGCACTTTATTCACCAAAACTTCATTCTGAGTCATTAGCAGCACCTCATTTCTCTTGACTTCTCCAATTGGTAATTGACTAGGAAAGTAGTATAGCCCAATCAGCTCTCTACCAATCCCCTTCACCTTCCCATTAGAGAGGTCCCAAAACACAACAAACTCAGGAAAGAAGTTAACTGAGCATTTCATTTGCCTAGTTAGTTGTGCTATTGAGAGTAGATCAAACTTGAATTTAGGAACTACCAAAACTTCATCTAATGTATCACCAGTAGGTGTCTTATAACACCCCGTGTGTGTAACTGAGGCACTTTTCCCATTTGGCAAGTATACTTTTTTGTCCATACAACTCAAGTCATTGGTAATAGAGGTTAATCTATTCAGTTTAGAAGTCATGTGACAAGTGGCTCCCGAGTCTACTATCCAATAATCCTTTGTAACATCTGCAAATAGTGCTAGTGTATTAGGACTAGTTTTGCCACTTATACCTGCCATGTTTGCCATGTTGACTCCTGAGGTTGTTGCTTCATCCTTGTCCAGCATGTGCAGTATCCTCTGGTACTGTCCTGGTGTAAATGTTGGTTGAGCTGCTACAAAAGGACTCTGTTGTGACCTCTGATCACCTTCATACTTATAAGTTGGATCAAATGCATCTGGTTTTGGTGATTGATCAGCTCTGACTTGATTTGCCACATTTTGATATGGTCTACCCACAGCTTGCATTCCCTGCATCTGTCTTGTCACACCATGATCATGATCAGATCCATGCTCAGCCCTCTCAAGTGGTGGTTTCTTCTTGAATTTCCAATTAGGTGGATATCCATTCAGCTTGTAACAGTTGAGTTTCACATGACCCTGTAGCTTGCAATAGTCACAAAACTGATCCCAATTTTTCTTCTTTGCTTGAGGAAATCTCATATTCCTCTGTCCTCTCCCAGCATACAGTGCATTTGTTTCTAACATCTGAGAGTGTTGTCCTCTCCCAGCATATAGTGCAGTAGGCTTTAACATCTCCTTATTAGTATGAATCCCTGTTGTAGTCCTTTGGCCTTCATCTGCCATTATCATGGCATATGCCTTACTAACACTAGGCAAGGGATTCATCATCAGAATTTGGCTTCTAGCCTGACCATATACTTCATTCAGTCCCATTAGAAAAGAAAATAACCTCAAATAGGCTAAGTGATCTACATAGGTTTTCGACTTGTCACAACTACATGATGGTGGAGGCATGAAGGCATCGAATTCATCCCATAGCAATCTCAATTTTGTAAAATATCCAGAAACAGTCAAATTACCTTGATGCAGTGTGCAAATATCTCTATGCAGTTGATAAATCCTGGATCCATCCACCTTATCAAATCGATCCTTAAGATCTCTCCAAACTTTAGCTGCATCATTTGTATATACAATCCCATTCAGTAGCTCTTTCGAGACAGTGTTCATGATCCAAGCAAGTACAAAACAGTTGCATTTCTCCCATTGTTCCTCTAGTTCCATAGTGTAGTCACTCCTTTTGCATGTTCCCAGAACAAACCCCAATTTACTCTTTGCACGAAGGTTGATTAACATAGATCTACTCCATAGAGAATAATTCTCTGTACCAGTAAGTTGTACTGTGGTCAGTACACATCCAGGAGTATCAGAAGGATGAAGATATAACGGATGATTCCTCTTTTTTTCAACAGTTTCGAGTGTATCAACTTGCATTGTTGCTCCAGTATTCGCAGTTGCATCAGCTTCTCCTGTGTTCATCATGTCCTTTGCTTCCACAAAGGAGCTTCAATGGCGGAAGAAGAAAGAAAACCAGTTGAATCGAATCCCGATTCAATGCTCTGATACCATATTGAAAACTCAATTTAGAAGCTCAACTTTAGAGAGAGGAAGAATTGAAGGCTTCATTATCAACTGGGAAAACTAACCTACTGCTATTACAATGCTGTATTTATATACACATTTCTATGAGCTAACTAACTAACCTCTATGATGTGACTGCATAACTAACTCTGACGCATTCTAACAGAATAATTAGTTAACTAACTAATCAGCTATTACAATCTAATTAGCAATCTAATCAGGTTAGTTATTAACCAATTCCAATAAGTACCTCTAAACTATACTCTACATCAACCTATTTTGCTAAATATACCTCTTCACCCACCTTTTTCCTCATTTATACTCTTGAACCTAATAACTATAGTAATTACTACAATAACTATGGTACTTGCTGCAACAACTACGATAGTTGCTGCAATAGTTATGGTATTTGTTGCGGCAACTTCAGCAATTGTTTGAATTATTGCCGCAATTTCAGCAATTGTTGAAATTGTTATAGCGACTTCAACATAGTTGTTGCAACAACTTTAACATAGTTGCTATAGTAATTTGGAAAGTTCTTAAATTTTCTGGCAAAAAGTGACATATTAAAGGAGCCGACGAAGTTGATGATGGTTGTGGTGGAGGAGAAAATGATGAGTTCAGAATCAAAATGACATTTTTTTTCTTTTAAAATGCATAAAGGGCTACTGAATTTTATTTTATACCAAAACGGACAAGTCGTTGCTAGGGCAGCGAGATTCTTTTTCAATTTTAACACCGTAAAATCGGTGTCTAAAATTCAATCTTTCTCGTTGCAGGGATATTAACGGGTTAAGTTATGATTCGTTACTACCCCATTTTGATCCAACCCATATTGGCCCAAACAAATTTGGGTTAGGTTGGGTCTTGACTCATTTTGATCTGCCTAAATTTACGAAAAAATACCTAAATACACATCTTATTTTACCATTATTTCTAAAATTTCCTATCATTTAAAAAAAAATTCAAAAATCCCCTCTCGCTGATACATCCCTATCCCCTCTCGGATACATCCCTCTCCTATGCATCCGGATGGGATGTAACCAGAAGCCTAGTGATGAATCCGAAATCCATAAATTTTAAGGGATTTTTAATTTGAAAAAAGTAGGAAAATAATGTAATTAGCTCTTTAACACTATGAGATTTATGTAAATTATAACTAAATTTAACCCAACCCACCCAATTGTCACCCCTACAAACAGATGAGGCCTTAATGGGCTTAGGTATTAATCATTCAAATTCAGACCCATTAAACAACTGCTTAATTAAGAGAGATAAAAATGGTTTTACCATTCATAGTATATCACAGTTTAACATTCAAAGTATATATTATTACTTAGTAAGTTTGATATGTTAACTTGGAGATAGAGTGAATACTATTGCTATAGAGCAACAACCAACTCATTATAAGGTAAAAGAGTAGACTACCCTTCTCCCTTAGTTTAACTAACTCATTAACTAACTTTTAAGTAGTTTAATAATACTCCCCCTTAAGTTGGAGGCTGAAACGGATCAAAGGATCCAAGCTTGGAAACCAACTGCCTATGTCGTGCAGTCCTAAGGATTTCGTCGAGCACATCTGCCAACTTGGAAGAAGTAGAGATGAACTGAGGAAGAATGAGGCCAAGTTTGAGCATCTCTCGAACAAAGTGAGAGTCAATTTCGATATGTTTAGTTTTCTCATGAAATATGGGATTAGAGGTTATATGTATAGTTGTTTTATTGTCACAAAATAGTGAAATTGGGGTAGGAATAGAAAAGTCCAACTCTTTTCACAATCCAAGTAATTTCTGCATCAACTTTCCATTCGATTTTAGATAGGCAGTAACATCTACCAGTTCTGTGTCACCTTTATACACCCTATAATCAACAAGTCATCCATATAAACAAGGATGAGAACAATAGCTGACCCTTTCTTCTTTGTAAACAAAGAGTGATCATAAGCACTCTGTGAATACCCTGATGCATGCAACTAAGACATTGTGAGCTTGATGTTCCACCGTCTTGTTTCAAGCCATACAAATTACAATGACTTCACTAGCTTGCAGACTTTTTTCTCCCACTATCTATGAAAACCCCGTGGCATAGTCATATATACCTCCTCTGAGAAATCTCCTTGTACGAAGGCATTGCTAACATTCATTTGTGAAATAGACCAATTCTTAGAGGCTACAATATTGGTGATGGTTCTAATAGTAACAATCTTAACCACCAGTGAAAATGTATTATAATAATCTAGCCTCTATTTATCATTTTCAGCCAACTCACAAAAATTCAAGCTGGGAGTGTTAGATTCTATAAAAGATGAGGATATTAAGGTACGTCAAAAATGACGCATTCTAAATAGATGTTGAACTGATTTTTGTTGATTTTCCTCCTCAGCGAATCAACATTTGGATCGATTATGTCCATAGTTACATGGCCTCTTAACTTTTCCAGGAAAATGTTCAAAAGACGAGAACTATTTGGTCCGGCTACATTAGCAAGACCGTCTACAAATACATGACCTCTAGCTTCATCAAAATAAAACACTCCTCCGATCCATCTTATTATCAGAAAGATAATGCAGGACATTTACCTTTAACCCGGGGAAATCAATACAAGTATTTATCAAGCAAATAACATCATTTAACCCTTCAAAATTGAAGTTCTGCACATACACTATTTAATTTATTAGAGTAACATACATATTATACTATTTAACAATTGAAAACAATTGTAAGTAGCTATCGAAAAATACAAATTCAGTAACCACAATTCCCATATTTTCACCATAGTAACACTGCCGATCCCAAGAATCTGGTGCAAGAGAAGGAACATACAAATTACCATAAATAAGAGCATATAGATTACCTTAATCTAATATTGGAAAAGACACAACTTTGGTGTTATTGTGGACAGAACTGAACTTCCATTGTATTAGGAGTTAATATTCAAGTTCAATGGTATTACATAAGTTTATCTCCTGCAACCAAGAGTGTGACCTAGTGGTCAATAGAGTGAATTCGAACAGAGGTCTGAGGTTCAAATCCCAATATAGAGACAAAATGCTAGGTGATTTCTTCCATCTGTTCTGATGGATGAAGTTTTTGAAATGTGTTCCTTCAAGTGTTTATCTCAGAACTATCAAATATATTTCATGGAAGATAATTGATGACAATGAGAAAAAGTGAACTAAGTACCTCAGATATTATTGACAGATGCTTCCCTCTAAAGTCTAGACACATCAGTTAGAATCTGATTGCTTGAAATAGAGAGGTATTGCAGGTGCTCGACGTTTCAACCTAAAATGGCAGAAATAAAAAAGATTTAACAAACATGTTAATATCATTAATTATGCTGGAAAAGTTAGATGAAAACTAAATAATAAAGCTAGTAGAGATTAATTAAATGTCACAAAGAGACACATTATTATTAAAACATGTCAACTTCACTACTAAAACCAACCTATAATTGATCAGAAATCAGGAATATGAAAACTTTATAGTTCACATCATGATTTTATGACGCTACAAGGTACACATATCATATTCAAAAATGGAATCTTTTTAACATTAATAATAAACATTCCGTATAATTCCCATAAAAAAACTTCTTTAAACTATATTCGTCGAACACATAAAGAGAATGACAAAGACTATTGTTTTTCTTTCACCTTTTCACCTACTTGGGGTGTCCTATATGCTCAGGTAGGAAGAAGGTTAGCTACTTTTATGATATGCTTACAGAAGTGGTGAAAAGGTTGAGTAGCTGGCATGGGAAACTACTGTCACCTAGGAGGCAGAATGGTCTTGATAAAGAGTGTGTAACAATCGAACTTGGTCCCTACGCAGTACAAGAATCGTCATTTGAAAGAAACAAAGTTATAAATTTATTTTAGATTCAGCACACCCTTAAAGTAATAATAAGGTAAACCAAATAAAGAGATGTAAAGGATGCGGCATGTGAATCTTGGGTGTTAGTATTATTCATAGTTTAAAATGCAAATGAAGAAGCACTGACCTGAGCTTACTCTTATGAAATTCTGTCGAAGCATACTCTTAGCTTGAGGATAGTCCCACTCTAGTGATTCCCAAAGTTCTTGACTTACATATATAGATCTGAGAGCATGTGGAATAAACAGTGGTTCTCCATCACGAAGAGGATGAAAAAATGGCAGTCTTTCAAGCTTTGGACAGCCACATAGACCTATTTCCTCAAGGGATACACAAGTCATTCTTCCCTTAGATATGCTTTTGAGTGCCGGTAGCTCAGTCAAATGAACTACTCTTAGTTTAGGGAGGATGACACCGGTAGAGGCAAACAATGATGAAGGACTACTCAGGTATTGACTGCTCGCTTCTTGATCCACTTCCTCTTCCTCATTCTCGCTAATAATTTCTTCTATCCCCTCACAATATGACACCACAACATGTTCAAGGTTGTGGAGATTTTTCCACAACCATTGAGGAAACATCACCTTGATTTGGTAACAATGTTCAATCCTTAACTTCTTCAAGTTTGAAAACGATCCATGTGAAAGAGCCATAAAAGATGCTTCAGTATTAGGTTGGATGTCAATAAGGTTAACAATATCCTTCAAATTGTACAGTTCCAAATTCTCCAAGCTTTTGAGTAACGACCCAAGTCCTTCTGGCACAATCAATTCTTGGCAATTGGAGGGTAATCGGAGTATGCACTCTATACCGTCACTAGAAACAATTTTGACTAACTTCAAATCTGTCAAATTGATCAAGGATGGCAGGGCACTTAAGAAGCTATTATCCGAACTTATGAAATCGCACCATGAAACTTCAAGTCTTTGCATGTCCCTTGGAAAATTGATTACAGCTTCTGACTGTTCCCTCAAGGGTTGTACTACATTTCCACCCTTCAGGCAGTAATCCTTCAAAATGACTTCTTTGCTGGAAAATATCACAGGGTATTCATACAAATCTCCAACACTATCACTGGTCAAACCATTTAGAGTGACCCGAAAGAAGATTGGCTGCCCATAACATTCTCGATTTTCTACGAATTTGTTGAAATCAGACAGACTGAACATCTTACCCCCAAATTCTTCAAGTTGTTTCATCCTCTCTAGGTCCATTGCTCGTATAGAAAATGGAGTCATGAGACGCTGGAGATGGGATAGGCTTCCAAACATATCTATGGGTGGTTCACTACTTCTTAGCTTCTTCAACCCGCTCATGGTTAGACATTTCAACTTAACCAAGTTAGGTATGCCTACGGGAACTTGCTTAATCCCTGTTCCAGTAAGCTCGAGTTCGCTAAGTACCTTAAGGTTGCTCAGTGATGGAACAAAGCTAAGTTCTCCACAACCTTTAAGCAATAAGGCATTCAAATTTTCCAAGGTTGATAGAGAATCAGGCAATTTTTCAATATTGGTATAGCTTAGATCCAAAACACGTAGACAAGGCTTGAACATGAAAAATGAGTATGGAATTTCTCGCAACAAGCGATTCTCTTGCAACAATAGGGTTGTCAGTTCCAAACATTTGTATAGTTCACAAGGAGAAATCTGATCGATACAATTATGCATCAAGGATACCTTGTCAAGATCTTCTGACCATTCACGAAGCTCTGGCATCTTTCTCAATTGCATTCCAGCTTTTACCATGAAGCGATCATGATGAGGATGGCTGGTGATTTTTATAGCCATTTCTCGTATCAAGTCATGCATCTTAACACATTTATTTTCATCTACATCCTCAGTGCTTTCTAACAAACATACATTTTCTAGCTTATTTAGTATTGCATGGCCTTGGTCTATTTGCGCTTGCCTACTATTCCTTGCATTTATATATCCCTCCATGATGAACTTGTTGACTAACTCAACTCTTGGAATTTCAAAGTCCTCTGGATATAGGCAACAATACAAGAAGCACTTTTGTAACCGGGGATCCCTCAAGCGAGTATAACTACAATGGAGAATAGGGAACACCTCATTCTTCATATCATCTTGCATCATGGAAGATTCTTCCAACTCTTGTAACGCGTCCTTCCAATAAAAAATGTCATTTACTCCCTTCATACAGCCAGCCATTGTTATGATTCCAAGTGGTAGCCCAGCACATCTCTCTGCCACTTTCATTGCTATTTTTTCTATTTCAATCGGGATTACTTGTACTTCATTATTATTGCCATGTCCAAGTTTCTCAGTAAATAAATCCCAAGCTTCTACTTTAGAAAGAGGATTGACTTTGACATTCTTTTGGCAACCAACTCTACGGCATACTTCAAGTGATCGGCTTGTTATGATCATTTTGCCTCCATTTCCAAGTGGAATCCCCACTTTTTTCACGTCAAAGTTATTCCAAACATCATCGAGTATTAGGACAAAAGTATTCATTCTCTTCAATGCTTGGAATAGCTTTGCGGCCCTTTTTATCTCATCATTAACACAAGAAAGATCTAAGCCAACATTCTCGGCTATGCCATTTTGTAACTTTTGAATACTCGAATCTTGAGATACAGTGACCCAATAAATGTGACCCAAGAATCTACTTTCTTGTAATAACTCGTTGTGGATATTCATAGCCATAGTGGTTTTACCCACCCCACCCATGCCATAAATGCCAATGATTGATACCTCATCGTTCCTTAGTATTTCAGATATATTTTCCAAATTTTGTCTGAATACTTGGCCTTTTAAATTTGTTGTCACCAAAGGCTCCCCTTTTTCTTCATATACATTATGTAAAACCCCTTCAGGAAACTTGCCTTGTTTTATGAGTTCCTCGGCTTCCTCAATCATTGTATCAGCAAAATTTGCCAATTTTATACGATCAAATCGGCCACACTCTTGAACTTCTTTCTCAAGGCTCTGGAACTCTTCTAGTTTGTTATTGACATTGCTTAACCATGTTTGAACTTCTGTTTTCCTTTTCTTGGATGAATGAAATTCAGCATCTTCTATTGTAGCCACTATATCAACCTTTCGACTACCGAGCAACTCCATCTTTCCCTTTAGATTCACTATCTTCTTTTCGAGTCCTCTATAAGGTTCCCATAATCTTTCTTTAGCTAGATTTGCTAGCATGTCAGCCATGGTCACTCACTAGACATAACAAATCAAACAATAAAATAGATATCAAATGGACTATTTTACAAGATCATCAATGCTACAAAGAGGTGAAAACAAAGATAATTTAAGGGATTATTTAAAGGTCCAATAAAAGTAATATTTAACTTATATACTTACATCATTAGTATGAGTATTTGTCAAATCTAATTTAATAGGTTATGTCTATAATCACTTAGAGAAGTGATGTAAACTCTGTATGTTATTTATGAAAGCATCAGTTGTTTGAATATTTACAAGAATTAAGTAGACTCCTAACTGAACACTAATAAATTATCTTAACTAAACAATGAATATTGAAATATAATCATAAACAAACTACCCAAACTAAGAATCTCAAGTCCTGAACATATTTGAACACTATACAAACATAGTGTTCCAATACTCCCCCTCAAGTTAGGCAATGGGTCACTAAGCCTAACTTGAATAGATTACTCTCAAATGCAGGCTTAGCCAGTGCTTTGGTGGGAGTTTCAGTTAGTTGGTCGGCACCTTGGACATGAACAAAACAAATCCTTTTGTTTTCAAAATGGTGGCGGACAAAGTGAAAGTCCATTGCAGCATGCTTCACAAGACTATGGAGGATAAAATTCTTGCTAAAGAATGTTGCTCCAAGATTGTAACAGTAAATGATAGGTGACTTATGTACTGGAAATTGCAGCTCATTCAAGAGATTGGTGACCCACAGGGTTTTAGCAAGGGAATTAGCCACTGCTCTGTATTCGGCCTCTATGGAGGAGAGAGAGACAATATTTTGCTTCTTTCAAGACCAGCTAACTGGATTGTGACCAAAGAAAAAGATGTACACCTATGTAGAGACTCTATTACTGATGTCCCAAGCCCAATCCGCATCGGATTACACGTGCAGATTAAAGTCATCAATGGGAGTCACACGCAAGCCTAGTTGGATAGTACCACGCAGGTACCGGAGAACATGCCTCACAACTTTCCAGTGAAGGTCCAATATGGTGCTTGAATGAACTGAGATAACTTGTTGACTGCATACTCGATGTCAGGTCTAGTAAAAGATATGTATTGGAGACGGCCTAAGGCTCGACGATTATGAGTTGTATCAGTCAGGTGAGTACCATCAGAGTTGAGAAACTCAGAGGCATTCATTGGCGCTTGGTCACCTTTGCAGTCAGACATTAGCTCATCATTCAAGATCTCATTCACATAGTTCACTTGGGTGAGAATTAAAACTTTCATAGCTGCGTATCACCTCAACACCAAGAAAATAGTGAAGATTTCCTAATTAATCTTTAATTGAGAAACAAGAAGCAAGAAGTGATAACCTCTTTGACAATGGAAGGGTTGCTCCCAGTGAAAATAATATCATTGACATGGACAAGGACAAACAATGTATCACTAGACCATGTCTGACAAGTAGCGAGGTGTCTGATATTTTCTTAAACAAAACCCATGGAAGAAAGATAACCTGTGAGCGCATATATTGTACCACGCCCGAGGGGCTAGTTTCATGCCATAGATAACCTTGTGCAACCGACAGATGTGTGTCAACTTGTCATTACTAGCAAACCCCAGAGGTTGTGCCATGTACACCTCCTCGTCCAGATCACCTCGGAGGAAAACATTGTTGACATCAAGTTGACAGAGGTACCAGTTGTAGTGAAGTACCACAGAGAGGACGATGCAAACTGTGGTAAGCTTGACGATCGGACTGAATGTTGCATGGAAATCAATGCCCTTCCTCTGAGTGAAGTCTTTTGCAACCAAGTGCGCTTTGTATCTGTCAACGGACCTATCTGCATTCCTTTTGATCCTTAAAATCCACTTGCAGGACACAATATTTTTAGTCGGGTCAGGCAGAACAAGTTCCCAAGTCTGGTATTTCATTAAGGCATCAAGTTCCTGTTTCATCGCTTCTCGCCTCTCGGGATGTGTTTGTACTTGTTTGACACTATTAGGTGTGATGGTGGGGGTGAAGTTAACTAGGTGATCAAAAATCTGTTTGGGCTTGCTAATGTTATTTTCAGACCTAGTGACAATTCGATTGGGGGAGAGGGATGGTGAGGCGGAGAGGGAATGAACTGTGGTATGAGAGTTATTAGTTGCCTATGTCATGCAACTAACTTGATCAAAGGTGATAAATTTGGGATTAAAGATATCATATCAATGATGATGAGATATGCCAACAATCAGAAAGGTTATAAGCTCTATTATCTTTAGTACAAAAAATGCTTATTGTTAGTAGGGATGTAGTGTCACTAAAAATGTATTTCTCTTCAAGCAATACAGATCAGGCTGACTGGATGGCTTTCTTAGAAAAAATGAGTTATGAAGGATGCCTGAGCAGTCAACTCACACTGATGATTCACATGAAGATACAACCAGAGATATAAGTGGTGATCCATCTTCTAATATAGTTACTGAAGTTGATGGGAAAATAAGACCTCAACTTGATGAGAGAAGAAAGTCAGCTAGAACAAGCAGACCCCCTATTTGGCTAACAAAGGCCAAGTACATGTACAAAGATTGCACATAGTTGTTTGTAATCAATTGCAGACACAAAATTCTTAATTATCGATGTCTTTTTGGGAACTATCAAAGCTTCACTTGTAAGTTTTCAACTGAGATAGATTCCCAGATTCAATGGCAGAGACACGATTTTTGCCAAAGGAATTCAATTTCTTTTTAAAAGGACCTATGTGATTAGTGGGAATTGAACGTGTGTTATCCAAGGGAATCTGAGCCCCCTTTACGCGCAGTGGCGGAGGCAGCATATACTTAGGGGGTTCCCCTCGGCAGAAAATATTACTATTTATACAATGTTAAAATTATTTTTTTAGATATGTATAATAGATGTCGAACCCCCTTCCACTAGTTCATGTGTTTACTTCTCAGATTTTGAACCCCTTTATTAAAAATCCTAGCTCCGCCACTATTTAGGCGAGCTAAGCTCTTGGCTTGTGTCAGGGGATTCAACATTTAATATATATGCATAAAACATAAATTTGACAATTCAAGATTTTCCGACAAAGGTGTTCTACCTAGATCCATCCATGCCCAGACTTATTATGAAACGTGAATTCAGGCCATGTAGTCAGCAATTAAGGCATTGAAAGAAAATAAGACTTGGGGGGATTGGATATTTAAGATCAAGTACAAACCTGATGGAGAAGTAGATACAAAACTAGTTTAGTGGCAAAATGGTACAACCAAAAAGAGTGGATAGGCTACAAAGAAACTTACCTTTTTACCTATAGTGAATTAAAGTGGTTATAATGGTTAGAAAATGAGATTATTCTCGATAGTCTTTAGTTTAATAGTTCTCTTTTGAATATTTTGCTTAGTTTGCAAATGAATGGTAGTCCTTGTTTTATACAATATGTCTTGTAAGAAAGTACGATAGTGGTTGGATAGGTATGGCCATCTACTAACTTTTGAAAAGCTTATGTAGATATATGTTTATGACATTTGTAGTATGTTATGTATGGAAAAAAACTTTTGTCGAACTTTACTTTTTTCTCTGAAGTTTCAAATTCCAATTGTTGTATCAGAGCCCTTCTTTATGAAGGCAAAAAAGAGAGCGAGATATCCGCGCCTCAACCTAAAGATTTAATTATTCATTTGTCATTTTATTTTCAACTGTAATTTAATATATTTGTGGTATATTACACCAACAATTTTAAGGAGAGTCATGTCTTTGTTACAGTTTGAAAAAGTGTGGATATCAAGATAGAGATCTCAACATAATTCTGCTCAACGTCACTCTCTTTAAGAGATGGAAGAGAAGAGGTGTATGGTAAAATATTTTTCTACTTGCTCAATTCAAGTGGAGAAAAGGTAAAGGAAAAAAAAACTTTTTTACCTAGTGTTTTCATGAATAAAGTGATACTACTTTTCATGAAAAAATGATATTTAAGTTCTTAAAATAGTGGGTGCTCATGAAATGAGGAAAAAGTTATTGTGAAAAAAAAATGTTTTTTGCATCTTTGAGAAATACTCTTAAAAAAGAGCATTACAAGTGCATATATTTATTATGGAATAAATCACATGTTTTTTGGCTATAATGAGATGATTTTTGGCTCTAACATGAGAGTTATAAATAAATTATGAAAAACATGTTGAGTAGTCATTTAACATGAAATGTTCTGGGTGAGATAAGTTTCATTCTTGGAATGAAAAAAATACCATAAAACATGTGATGAAATTTTCCTTGTTGTGAAGATATGACACCTGGGCCTAACTCAACCTTAAAAGTTAGCGTTATGAGGGGAGGTTTGTCCAAGTCCATATAAGGAGACTAAATTCTCATCCCTCTACCGAATCGGGACATCTTAACATTCCTTCGCACGCCCAGGCGGGACATCTTAACACTCCCCCGCACGCCCAGACCTCAACTGGAGCATGAACACATCTAAATGGGGGCCCATCATTGGTCAACAACAAATTGGGATGAGTCTGGCTCTGATACCATGTAAAGATATAACACTTGGGCCTAACTCAACCCCAAAAGCTAGCTCACGAGGAGAGGTTTGTCCGAGTCCATATAAGGAGACCACATTGTCTATCCCTCTAATGATGTGAGACATCTTAACATTCCCCCGCACGTCCAGACCTCAACTGGAGCGTGAACACTTCTAAATAGGGGTCCAAATTATTTTTTCAGCAAGTACAATTTCAATAATTGCGAGTCCAAAAAATTCTACACGTGTATATATGGATCAAGTGGCAAAAAGAGAAACATCAGAGACAAGTGATCATCGAGTGTGTACAAAGGCACAACAACAAAACATTATGAGGGGTCTTGCGAGCAATCTTTGACCCCAAATGGCAGATAAATGGAAATGCAATTGCAGAACAACGTTGAAGAAGGATTCAACATATACTCTCCTCTATAACTTTTATCATGGAAAACTACATGCACCCGAAAAGTATCAACTCTATAACAGAGGGTGAGTTCAATAGGCTTACCGACTAGAAAACATTCCAGATAATATGACACAAAGGTT